AATTTCTAAGTGACCTTATGTGCCGCATACTGGCTGCAGGCCGGCCTGCTGAAACTCATAAAGAGGAAAAAACTAACGGTTCAAATGACTCTACGAATATTTAGCCATATCATAAAGTTGTCCCCTTGATGTCTTAACACTGTTGTTTTTTACATTTCTGTCAATCTGTTTTTGCGTAATTGCATTACTGTTGTACAGTTAAATGATTTAGTCATGGTATGTTATCTATTGTTATAGAAAAGTTGAAAGTATTGTAGTCGCTGTCGAAGAGAATAGTGCTTAGATTTTTATTAATGAGATTGTAAATTTGAATCTTTACATCGTAAATATAATAAATTAATGTAAAGATTCCCGTGTAGGAAGGATGATTATTCGATTATTATTTCAGTTGTGTAAAAAACTGTTTACAGTTGAACCATTGTTCACGATTTGTACCTCTGCTTCTATAGGCCTATATACATTTATATCTTCCGCTATTAAACAGTAATTGTCTAAATTCGTTCGACTGAGGTTAGTGAACAGATTTTTCAATTCCTGGAAAAATTCCATTTTATTATTACCGAGAACGTAGGCGGATATTAATATAAATAGGTTTTTCTTGATTGGGAAAGTCCATTTTTATTGCGTTTGTTTTTATGTTGTGCTGTGGTTTTGATCAGAATGGCTGGATCTCCTGCTTGTATGGCGTTTATTTCATCTATTTTATGAATTGTGTAATACAAGTAAGTGATTTTGTTTCATATTGGGTTTAATTTCCCTTAAGAGGTTAATGTCTACGTTGTATTTGTTTATGAGTTGTAGCACACTTGATCTTTTCTGGTGGGACACTAATGAGTTATTGGTTTTTTTCATTTGCGTGTTTATGGGTGATATGTGTTTTTGTCTATCATTGATATTGTTCGGTAGAGAATTTTTTTGAAATTGTAGGTAGGTGTCGGCTAAGTCATATCATATGGTTTATTGCAAAGCTTGCAACAGGCTTTCAATTTCTGTTAGTATGTTATAGAGTCAGTTAATATATGAGTATTAATATATGACTTATGTTATTTGGTAAGGTTAGTTAATACCAGTAAGGGTACGCTTAGTGTGGATAACTGTTTTTTTGGAAGGAGGGGTAGTTGTGCAATATAGGAAATAGGTGGCGGAATAAAATAAAAACAGAAATACATAGTTTGTAAAAAAAACTTTAATACTTAATGTGGAAACACGGAAAAGCATGTTTTTTCTCTTCAAGGATTACGTTCAGAATGAATAAGACCGTTGAGGAAAAATTCGTTACAAGTCAATAGTAGACCCTATGTGCCCTACAGTTAAAATAAACAGCTAAAGAACACAGCTGCATTCTCTTAACTCGAACCTTCAACGTTAGAGAAAGTTTTATGTCCTGATAATTTTTGAAGAAGAAAACACTTAGTTTGTGTTAAATAAATCTAACATGCTATTTATTCGACTTCAGTGCGAACTAGCAGCTACTTACCTATAAAAAATTGCTGAATTTATTAGTTTTTAATTTTTCTCTATTTTTATATTTGTTGTTTCTACTTGCTTCTTTATTCCCCTTTGACGATTTGTATGTGACAATTTATGTGACAACTTCTGTATAATGCTGAGTGACTATTTTGACTGCAAAAAGTGCATTCGAGAGTGTCTAGAGTTTCTTGTGAAGTTAAGATTATACAAATGTCTAGCTCTGCACGGAATGTTCTTCTATAGGTGGGCATAATTGGAGGAATGATACCTGCTGCGATATTAAACAAGATTTTTCTTTACTAACGTGTCATTAAGGCTCAGTTTCTGAATTATTAATGAAAAACACCGATCAATAAGAACGCGCATAACGTGCAGGTTCAACTACAAGAGTGTTGGCTATATGCCGATGTTGATCATGGCCACGAACTCATAAATTTACGCCGTATTGATGACGTAGTCAACCAATATGTAATTATAAAATTTGTCAATATTAACGAGTAGAAATCAATCATTAGTCTAAAATGACGTAAAAATCGAATGGAAATTTTACATTCCATTTGTTCACTGTCGACATCGACGCATAGCCGACACTGCCATGGCTAATCCCACGCGCCATGCACGCTTTTAGCCAGTGCTTTTTTATTAATAATTCAGAAACTGAGCCTTAACGAACATTTTAGTAAAAAAGCAACTTATTCGGCATCACTCATCTACCACTCTCTGCAATTATATCGATCTCTAGCTATAGTTAAGGTTAAGGTTGCAATTTAATTACTAAAGTTATTAAATGCATCGTGTAGATTGAGAATTAAACAATTTATGCTTTGGATTTTCGTATTTGGAATCTGCTGATTTTTATAAACTACAAATTGGTGATTGTGAAGCTAATAAGCGAGCCTAGAATTGCATCCTCGTATCATTTTAATTTTTTAACTAATATTAATTTACTTTTTTTCTTTAGTTTGGTTGCGTAGGTATAGTAATGAATGAGAGATCATTCATAAAACATAAGAATGTTTTAGTGCTAAAATTATGTTATAATCTTTGAATGTGTCAATAAATATGTATCTTAACCACTAAGACATAATGGATTTAAAGCGCTATTAGTAAATTTGGCTTACAAACAGAATTGCTATTACAACTAATAATTAAGAAATTTGTATAACTACTTTGAGTTTTTATGCAACCGAAATAACTGTAATATTTATCTAAAATTTGTTAAGCAGTGTAATTCTGTTTTATGAGTGTCGCGATGTAGGTAAAGTAAACACTCACAACAGAGTGTTTGCTAGGATAGAGTTTAATAATATGAGAAATATGAAATGTTACAATATCGGAGGCTCGACTGGTTATCTTCTTCTTGGCGTCTTTCCGCGTTATATATTATGCTTTTGGGAAAAGGCGTTACTCCTTAAAGACTAGAGGGTGGAGTCTTTTGCCTACTCGAGTCTTCCCATTTTCGGCGGGAGAAAAAGTGTTATAAATTACAGTTTCGTTAGCCGAAAATTTCCTTCCGGCCCGCGCTGACCATGTGGCTTAATGAACCGTAACGGGACATGACTGGCAGCGTTTATGGTAGGGTAGCCTATTCAGCTACGCACGTCTAAAAAGTATAAAATAATTTCGCCGACTTACAGACTTTAGGGTAGGCTTAACTGCCTATACCTAAACATTTGTAAACGGTCAATGCTAATTTTTACCAACGCTGCGAACCATGTGCCGCTACAATGAGTATATACTATAATTTGACTCAAAACACAAATGATAAATTTTGACTCTTTTTTATTGTGAACGAAAATCCAGCGGCATTCTTTGTATTTAATTCCTTTTTCGCAATCGTTATTTTGTGTTAGAAATTTCGTTAAAGTACCTTATATAGTTTAATTGCAAACATATAATTACAATTTAATTACTTTTTGAATAACTCAATCTTGTAAAGTAAAAATTGATTATCATGAAGAAAAAAAAAGAAAAATAAAAAGTTTCCGGTACCGGGAATCGAACCCGAGCCTCCTGGGTGAAAGCCAGGTATCCTAGCCACTAGACCATACCGGAGAAGTTGAAATGGCATGCTTTCTGAACAGTTATATAGTGTACCTTCGTAAAAACAATTATAATTTATTTAATTTGTTTATAAAGTATGTTTAAATATCCTTTTACATTTATTTTTAATAATGTAATGATGTTAATGGTTCCATTTCGCTGTAAATATACATATACTAGTAATGTTAGGATCAAGTTTGTATTTAATATGTTAGTACATATTTACGTTTTTTATGTGTAAAATATGAAGAGGATAGTGGTGTATAAAATGTTTATAGCTTTGTAGTATTTATGTTCTTTACTGCGTTCTTATTTTCATGTGATTTATGAAATATGCGTTATTTAATGATATTAATGAGAATAAAAAAAAAATAGTACATAGGTGTAGAATACAATTTATTTGTTACTGCTGTTGACGAATACGGACATGAATGTATAAATAATTAAAATAAGAAAAAAATATTTTCCGGTACCGGGAATCGAACCCGAGCCTCCTGGGTGAAAGCCAGGTATCCTAGCCACTAGACCATACCGGATTTAGGATTTACATTTTTTCAGTTTCTTAACCTCGGGTCTAGTATGCTATATGTATACAGGGTGTTACCTGTAACGCTACTCACGATTTTTCTCCCACTTGCAGCCACCGTACAAAAAAAAGTTTAGAATAAAATTTGCAGGGTATGAAGTGCACAATAGATATTAGTAAAGCAAATTTTGAAAACAGTTTGTTCTCTTGGCAAAGTCAAGGTCACCTTGGGTTTTTTAAATAGGAACATACATTTTTTTTTATTCATAGCTTTAGAGGACATCGAGACGAATTCAAAACATATATTACATTATATTTTTATTAACATATTA